CACTTGAAATATTTAGAGAAAATAAAAATAAAATTCCATATTGTAAAAGTTATGAGACGATGATAAAAATTTATAATAATTTACAAAAAGAAAAACAAAAAGAAAAAGGTAGTCGATTTTGGCGTCCTGTAACTTTTTATTTTTATGGTTGTGGAGGTAGCAGAAAATCAGGACTTGTAACTGAATTATTTAGAGATCAATTATATGCTGATAAACCAAAAAAACAATGATCGAATTGGTGGAATGGTTATTGTAGACAAGAAATGGTTCTTTTAGATGAATTTTATACAAAAATCGATTAGAATGATACAGTGAATCTATTTAATAACACACCATATAATATAGAGATAAAATCAAGAGGATTTGAACCTTTTTTGGCAAAATATATATTTTTAACAACAAGAAAACTACCAGAAGATGCATATAATTTTGGTAGAATACAAAATGATGAAGAATCAACTCAGCGTGATTGGGGATAGTTTGAACGACGTTTAGATTATATCATTGAATTTACCGGCAAATGAAATGATGATATTGAAAAACGTACAACAGAAATTATATTTCACAAAGGTGATGAAGAAAAGTTTCACAATTTGGAGTAGAATGTTAAATATAGAAATGGGGAAAACACAATAGAAGAATTAATAGAAAAAGGCAAAAAAATAAACGGTTCTTCAAATGGTAAACATATAATTGATGGTGATGATATCTATTGGAGACAAAAATTTCCAGAATTTAAGAAAATTTATTTGAGGGATTATCCTAATTGTAAGAAACTTTTTAAATATCGAGAAGATTTAGAAAAAAAAGTTCAACAAAATATTAAAGATGATTTATCTGATTATGAAAATCAAATTGCTGAATCATCAAAAAAACGTAAAACAAAAGAAATTGAAAAGGATAATAATAAAAAAAAGACAAAACATAACTAGTTTATTTTTTTAATTGTATATTATAGAATTAAAAGTTTGGGTTAATTTTATAAAATAGTTTGTAGTAAAAAAAAATATAAATACTGTAATATTTTATTTCTTAAATGTTTAAATAAAAATGTCTAACTGGCAAAAAAAATTCAAAGACTTTGAAATTTTGTCTAGTTGGACTAAACTTCCAATCATTAAACCTCGAAAAAAATCTAATTCTTATCGAATTGTTGAAATTGATGCAACTTTATTTCTTAAAGTTTCAACACAAAAATCAGAAATCACATTTCTACTTGATCTTGAAAATTTTCATTTAGTTAAAAATTATACCTGGTGTTATCATAAAAAAAGAAATACATATTATATTTCTACGAATGAAAATTATAAATTTTTATTACTTCATTGTTTGATTTATCCAAATTATAAAATGATCGATTATAAAAATCGGTGTAGTCTTGATAATCGTAAATGCAATCTTTGAGAAACAACATCAAAAGTAAATGCATTAAATTGTAAATTGTTTAAAAATAATACTTCAAATTATAATAGAATTAGTTATTCTAAATTTTCAAAAGCTTGGATATTTCGTTGGTATAAAAATAACAAATGAAAAACAAAATGGTTTTATATAACAAAAAAAGATCCTCTGAACAAACTAAACAACTAACAATAGATTTTAAATTAACTCAAGATAAATTAACTGGTAACTTAAATGGTTATTCAATCAAATATTAAATTTAAATTACAAAAAGTTAAAGAAATTAAAAAGAATGATAGAAAAAGATAAACATAACTAGTTTGTAAGTTTAAAATTTTTTCACATGAGTTTTCCTCGATCTTTGTTTTGAAATTTTTTAGCTTCTTAAATTCTAAGATTAGAAAAAATTAGTAATAAAAAAAAAAGAAATTTTAATCGTGTTTTAATTTTTCTAAAATAAGAAATATTATTTTTTTAACACCTTAAATTTTAAGAAAAAAATTAATCAGGTATAAGTGTAACTTAGTATGAATAGTATCTTTAATCGATTCTTTAATAAAAAAATTTCTATTATTATTTTCGTAAACAAGTTTTTGATCATGAAAGATTTTTATTCCTAAAATCGATGGTGGTAAAATTATATAATTTGTTGCTTCGTAATTTGTTTTTTCATGTGAGCTTATCACAAATGAATAACCCTTATCTTTAGCTTCTTGAATTGTAATTGGTGCATCTTTATCTCTTTTATAAATATAACTTCTTCTTCTTGTTGTTGATAAATAATTTTTTCTTGTTGAACTTCTTCTTGTTGTTGATAAATAACTATTTCTTGTTGAATTTCTTCTTCTTGTTGATAAACTTCTAAATCAGTACTAACCGATTCGTTAATTTTGTTTAAAACATCTTGTTCATATAAACTTTGACAAATCTCAAATTATTTGCCAAAATGTGCATTAAAATAAATATAACGCTCAACTAATTCTATAATAGAAGAATTTCTATTTTCTAATTCTTTTTGTAAATTAGAAATAATTTTCAAATACATTTCTTCTTTTCTTTGATATTTTTTCTTTTCTTCATCCAATTTTTCATCTCGTTCTTGTAAATCCAATCCAAGTTTTTTAATCTTCTTACAAGATTTATTATAAATTTCTTCTTCAACATATGTTCTTTTTAAAGACATTGTTTTTAGTTTAATTGTTTGTGAGTTTTCAAATTTAAAAGAAAATTTACGTTCTTTAGACATTTAAGATCAAAAAAAACCTCAACATATATAAAAAAAAATAAGTTTAAAATGATTGGTACGATTTTAGAATTTAGATTAATAATCCTTATCAAAAAATTCTTAAATTCTTATGGAAAATCCTTTTACAATTTAGGAATTTCCTTTCATAGAATAAATTAACGGAAAAACTTTTAAATTCTTTAAATAAAATACATAATAGAAAAACTATAAAATAACATGATAAATAAATTAAAAATTAAAGAAAAATGCGTAATACACACGAAATCCGCAACTACTTTCATAATAATACTCTAAAAACAAGACTAATTTGCAACGAATATGAAGCTAATTATCCTATTGATACAAATTTATCGAATCTTAAAAAGCATTTTGCTAACCATCATCAAACCGAATATAATTTAGCTATAGAAAAAGAAAAACAAAAAACTAATAAAAATAATTTAACACAAAATAATGAAATTTTAATTTCTTCTAAACAAATCGAAGAAATTGAAGAAATTGAAGTTATTGCAACAGGACAAGCATTATTACCTGTTCAATAACAACAAAAAAAAAGAAAAATTGAAGATAAAAATGATCATATTCATAAAATTAAAAATATTAAATCTGATAATGATTATTGTAGTGTTAATATCGATAACAAAGGAAATATTAATATTGTAGAAAAATGTATTATTAATTTCGAATAGTTTTTTTCTTTTTTCTTTGTGCTGTATTTATATATTTATCAGTATCATTTATATTTAATAAAATAACTTGTAAAATATTTACCTCTTGCTTTTATTATATCGGATACTCGTATTTGTTTCCAAATTTCATTATGTTTTGTGATAAAATGTTTTTTTAAAGTATTCAATAAAGGATCTTTGTATTTTCGTTTACAATATTTACATTCAAAATAATTATCAGAACATGAATTAAAATAATTCCAAATTGGATGTGAGTTTATTCTTTTCATCATTAAAAATAAATTTTATTAAAATTGTTCGATGAAATTAAATAATTATTTACTGTAATACAAATGACTATTTTTATTATTAACCAATCAGATTTAAGGTTAAATATTTTAAATAACCATACTTTCAAACCATTACCAACCAATCAGATTTAAGGAATATTTTCAAGTATTTTGAATA